AAGTGGCTGGAACCAGTAAAAGCTTCACATCACAAACACAAGAGGCTTTAAAAGTAGTTTATTCACATCAACTTGGTGGGAGGATGTGGGCAATACGTATTTTCTTCTAGAAAAATTTTACTGTTTGTGAGTCTAATGTGAATTAATTCATGGAAACTCTTATGTTTTTATTTTGGCAAACTTCAGACTGCAATACTCTGCTTAAAAGAGCAGCCTTCTCAGCAGCTTAAGTGACATATTGATCATAAGTGTAACATGGAGCGTTGATGTTGATTGATCTGATCCTTTGAAGCAGCGTTTAAGATGTCGGTTCAACCTCAGGATGTACGGGTTAAATATTGATTTTAAGTCAGTTTTAACCACCTAATTGCTTATTACATCCAACGTAGCCCACAGCTCCTGTTCGCTTTAATTAGGCAAAGTATTTGGTTGCCGTTAATAAGAAGTCACCCACTTAGGCATTGAAGGTCTGTGCATCTTAGTGCCTGTGAGCGCATGTCATCGCAGATCGAAAAAGTACCAAGCTGTTGTCAATACAAACAGCAAAGGCGATGCAAAATCTCTCCTCCCCTCTTTCAGCTCTGTTACTCTGCGCGTACGCAGGCGAAGAACGGACTCTTCGATTTTGGACAAAAACTACAGCGGCTGCGCTCTCGTTCCCCTCAGCCCTCTCCCCACCTCGCGCGCTCTACCTCCAGTGATGACTCATTGGCTTGTGCGGCGCCGCCACTGCCATGGTTTGGCGCTCATTCATGCCAAGTTGTTGAGTCATGCGTATGAGGTTTGCCAAACGCCGGCTGAGCTACCACCATATCACTATACCTAGACGGTTTAGCTCCCTGCGCAGGCAGCTCGCAAAGCCAAGGGAGCAATCACAGCTGGGATCGACGCATTGGAGAGCTTGAGTTTTCCTATTCTTATTTTTCATGAGGTATTAGAACTCGGTTCGAGAGACTCCGTCGTTATTTGGGAAGACTTTCAAAACCAATTTTTAATTTGCCATGTAAGTGAAAAAGGCAATCAGTGTTGAAACTGAGTACTGATGGCTCTAATGAGTATCGCTGAATGAGGGTTGGTGCTGACATTTTTGTACTAGCGTGAATAATACATTGCTCCATCGCTGAGGTTGCTTATTTTTACCGGCTTCCTATAAGATGGCCAGAACTTATGTGCTCCTTCATGAGAACTCCTTATGCTTTGGAATAGGCTAATATATGAAACTATTGTCTAAAAATGATAGGGATCGGTAAAGATTGGTAAACCATGATAGTAGTGAAATAATATTTTTAAACGTGCCTTCTTGCAATGTTAAAGGTCCATTCGGTACAAATAAGTGAATTATTA